TACGCAAGAGAGAATTTTGCAACATATATAGTTCTTGCTCTCCTCCAGCTCCAGATGGATACTTTTTCATCATTTGTCAGCAAGAATGACGATTTAGAAACTGCAGGATCCAGCCTTATAAAAGCCTCAGCAGGCAAACTTTGGTTACTGTAGAGACACACACTTCAAGTTTTTCTTTCTTCTCTATTGAGTGATCATTTTAGACACAGAAACCAAACATGGACTTCCAACCACAGAAGCAAACTGTCTTGAGATCTCATGTGTACAGGATTCCTGCTCTTTTATACGAAAGAGAAAGTGGAACTCTTCTGGCCTTTGCAGAGCAGCGGAGGACGGAAAGTGACTCCAATGCAAAGGCGCTGGTCATGAAATCAGGAAAGCTGAAGGAAGAATCCCCTGATGTGAAGACAATTGAGGTAAACAACCCCAGCAAATTTTCATCTCTGAATTACACGGGAATATGTAGTATTAATTTCACCTCCATTAAAACAGCTCTGTTCTGTTAACACAACTCTGAATGATATATATTTTCTAGTGGACAGAGTTCAAACTGGTGGAAGAGGCTCGGATTGATGGACACCGCACGATGAACCCCTGCCCAGTGTATGAGGAGAAGAGCAAAACAATCTTCCTGTTTTTCATCTGTGTTGAAGGCAATGTCTCAGAGTGGTGGCAGATAGAAAATAACACCAACAAGGCTCGTCTGTGTTACATCAGAAGTGAGGATCTTGGACAAAGTTGGAGCAAGGTAACAGATTTGACAGACACACTGGAAGAAATTAAGAACTGGGCCACGCTGGCTGTTGGTCCAGGCCATGGTCTTCAAATGAAGGGGGGTAGATTGATTGTTCCTGTTCATGCTTATGTTAAGAACAATGCACAACATGCACTCGCCCTGTACAGTGATGATTCTGGTGACCATTGGCAGTTTGGCAAAATACTTCACACAAAATCAATTGAATGTGAAATGGCAGAGTTTTTTGATGAAGAAGGCAAAAGCTTCATCTACTGCAATGCCCGTAATCAGGGCGGCAATCGAGTGGAAGCTGTCAGTGAAAATAATGGAGATGATTTTGCCAAGCGGATTGGGACACTCATTGAAACAGGTAGAGGCTGTCAGGGAAGTGTGGTCTCCTTTCCAGCTCAAAGTGAAGATGCAAATGCAGAGGGTGACCAAAGCCAGAACCCAAAGTGGCTGCTCTTCACTCACCCAAGCCATAAGTCCAGAAGGATTGATTTAGGAGTGTATCTGAACAAATCCCCACAGGATCCAAATGCATGGAGCAAACCCTGGATCATTAACCATGGACCCAGTGGTTACTCAGACCTGGCTTACATTGATGATGGTTGGTTTGTATGTCTTGTCGAGTTTGGGAAGAAGACAGAACTTGAGCAGATAGCCTCTGTGGTTTTTAACTACAAGGACATCAAGCAAGGCATTGGAGAGTAACTGACATAATGCCTTTCTCTGTCGTTTTACCATAAATGACATTCAGCTTTCACATATTAGACTTCCTGTAACCTGCTGTTCAATAAAGGTTATACTAACACATTGAAATCCAAATCACAACTGATGAATACATTAAGTGTTGGATAATGATTTACAATTTCAGCTCTTACAACCATGAAAATTATGTACAATACTGTGATGACATTTTATACTGCACTTCTCAAATGTAATTCATATGATACTGTATTTACACTGATTATGTGTTGCTTATGAAATAAAGAACAAAATACATTTTGACAAATAAATGTAATTATAAGAGCTGTCTTCACCAGTGTTTTGAATAATCAGTTCATGAAAAGTTCTGTCTGGGGAAAAAAAGCAAACAGCAGAAAACTATTTCCTGTTTTCAAAGGAAAAACAACAGTGACTCCTTGAAGCATATGTGGCAGGCAAAATGTCATTCATTGATTCATTCATCACTAATTTGTCAAACAAAGTAGTTGTGTTTTGTCTCTAAATCTAATTATAATTGTAGAAAATGGCAGTAATGACCTAAAATTATAATAAAATAAGTCAATAACAGTTTTAAGTGTCATTATATGAAAATTAGTCCATATTGAAAATGATCCATAATCAATTCTAGATCAAATAAGTAATCTGATGTATTTGGCATGACACCATTTCTTAGTGACTAAGACAAAGCAGGCTACATCTTCAAAGTAAACTGTGATAGATAGATAGATAGATAGATAGATAGATAGATAGATAGATAGATAGATAGATAGATAGATCCTTTGGCTGAGGTGTTGTATAGACAGATGGCAGTGTGAACAAAGGATCTGTTGCTGTTCTGCAGTGAAGTGAGCCACCACTGACTGATGCATCATTTCACTGCAGACGTCAAAGGACCATCAGGTCAAGTTGAACTACTGCTCTGACTTCCTCTTTGAAACTGTTGAGGATATTAACCATGACAAGTATGTATAGTGAGAAAATAATGTATTTTTACTTCTGTGGTGAAACTCCACATGTGTCCCAACTCTCAGCAAAATCCAACAAAACCTCATACGACTAGACCAACAAGTCCTCCACAACAAAACACATTGGTCCATTCCCTTTAGAACTACACACAATGATACTGCTGTTTCAAAAATACAACCATTTTCTGAAATGAAAACTCAAACGCTTGACTTGGAACACAGATGGGGGTTTCCAAAAATCAAAATCAATTTACTTAGCAAAAGGTCGGTACACGGATGAACAAAAAACACAAGGCAGACAGGTCCAAAAGGAGAAGGCTGAGGCGAGGTCATAACCGAGCAAAAGCTGTATAAGGCTAAACACTAGGAAATAAGGCTGGAACTCTTATCGCAAAGGAACAAAGACAAACTGGCCAAAGGGGAAGGGAGAATGCAGACTAAATACACTAGGAGAGGGGAGAAATTGAGACAAAAGTGCAGCACATTAGGGCAGGGAATACAGCAGCAGGAAACACACGAGGGCAGGAAGTGAAGCTGAAATGAGAGGGAGAGTTAGTGAAGTCAAAATAAAACAGGAAGTGCATAAAAAGACAAGATTTGATAAAAATAAAAAAAACTGAAAACATGCCCTAAGAAGCAGAGCTAGACCTGACAGAGGACGTTTTTCACAGCAGCACAATAATAAACACTCTGTGGCTCTGCTTCCAGAAAACTGTGTTGCCATTTCCAAACACTATGCCCACATCACCTTCCTCATTTGAATAATCAGACACATGTCATGACACATTTCAGTGTGTCCCTGGATATAGGAATTCGGCTGAAGGGGATGATGACAGGTTATGTCGAGGTAAGTGGATCAAATATAGTTAAGCTTGGTCATAAGCCTATAATTTTTCCAAAATTGATCATTCTTCTCTTTGACCTCTGTTAGTGTCGCGGGGAGCAGGATGTTGACACTCACTGAGTAACTGCTTATGTTTTACATGTCCTTCTCAGGGTAAAAAGGATGCTCCTGCTTTGTGAGTCATTTGCAACGATTACTATTACCATTGTATAACCATTTCACTGTTATTTTTTGGTTTCCTTTTTTATCTGATTCAGTTTGACTGTGGACATTTGCCCACAGTGATACTGCAGGAGCTGCACCAAGAGGCCGTACAACAGCAAAAAGAAAACATTTGTTTGCAAAGAATGCCAATATAATGCAGAGCCTACCTATGTTGTTTTTATCATCATATTGTACTGACCCTGTGTTATTAAAATAAATTGTTTTGCACATATGAAAAATATGTCTGTAGGATGCAACACAACAGTGCTTTCAAACATGTACCTGTAGGGTGGTACAGTGTGCATACGTCCTCTGTGACAAGTAAGAGGACACATAAAGTTTTATTATCTTTATGGTTATGAGGAAAGTAAGTTGGTTTGATGGATGGCTGAAAATATTAATTATTCAATATTCATTGTCTCATTTTTTTTTTAGCTCAAGTTCTTTTTGAGGCAGAAACAACCTTTCAGTCACAGGGTAGATGCAGTAATCAATTTTTGGCAAATGCAAAACTGTTAAGGGTTGTATTGAACCTTTAAGGGTATTTGAACTGGTAAAGGGCCTGTATAGCTATAGTCTGTCAAATATAACCCTTGTGGGTGAAATCAAGTTGTTTTGAGGCAGAAACATTCTTTCAGTGACAATGCCTGACAATGCAGATGCTGCAATAACTTTTTGGCAAGTGAAAAGGGGCAAAAATATTGGTTGTAATGGCCCTTTAAAAGGGTATTTCAACAAGTAAAAGGACTGGGTGAGCTATAGTCAAATATAACCACCATGAATGTAGTCATGTTATTTTTTGAGCTAAAAACATCCTTTGTGTCACATAGGAGCTACAATCACTCAGTGGCAAGTGGAAATGCATGTAACTATTGGCCAATGTATTTCAACAGATAAAAAGGACTGGGTGAGCTATAATCTTTAGAAATGTAACCCCCATGAATGAAAGCAAGCCATTTTGAGGCATAAACAGTCACAAGATCGGAGCTGCAATCACTTTTTTGAAAATGAATAAATGCCTTTGAAAGGTTGTATTATGCCTTAAGTTTATTTAACTGGTAAAAAGAACTGGATTGATTATGCATTACGCTCAGAGCAGGTCAATAATGCAGTCATAAGGATACTTATATATATATATATATATAATGCATATGTCCCACCTGTAAATCATGTTAATTACAGAATAGTTTCCAAATATCAAGAATATTAGACATACTAAACACATATAAAAATCGGAAATAATATAGCTTTTGCCTATAACCGAGTATGCCTGATTATAAACTGCAAACACTTCTTTGGCCACAATAGTGATTATTCAGTTAAAAGAAAAGTTAAAGTTTCACTGAGACATACTTTTCTATTGCCACGGACATATATTTGTGTGTATTGGCAGGTTATGACTGTTTGATCCAGATGAAAGCAGCGGTAGACATGCAGCATTACGGTAAAAAAAACTGGGCGGTACAGCTTTAACTGGCAATGCGCGCTCCCGCGGACATGAGTCACTATTTGGGAAAGGAGATCGTTTTAAGACGGAACACAGACTCGGAGTCACCTGCTGTCTGGGGAGCGCTCTGTGTACACGGACACCAGCCATGAGCAAAGTCACTCTAACGGACGCCCAACCACTGAAATTACAACAAACTGTCTTTAAATCTTGTCATAAATGCGTGTATAGGATCCCTGCTCTTTTCTATGAAAGAGAAAGTGAAACTCTTCTGGCCTTTGCAGAGCTGCGGAAGGCTGCAGCTGATTCCAGTGCAAAAGCGCTGGTCATGAAAACAGGAAAGCTGAAGGAGGAATCCCCTGATGTGAAGACAATTGAGGTAAACATCCACAGCAATTGTTTCATGGCTGAATTAGGTTACATGTGAATATATAGTATTACTTTCAACTCTTATCAAAACTGCTGTTTTGTTCACACACCTCTCAATAAAACATCTTTCCTAGTGGTCAGAGCTCAAGACAGTGGAAGAGGCACAACGTGATGGACACCGTACTATGAACCCCTGCCCAGTGTATGAGGAGAAGAGCAAAACAATCTTCCTGTTTTTCATCTGTGTTGAAGGCAATGTCGAAGAGTGGTGGCAGATAAGAAATAACACCAACAAGGCTCGTCTGTGTTACATCACAAGTAAGGATCTTGGACAAAGTTGGAGCAAGGCGACAGATTTGACAGACACACTGGACGAAATTAAGAACTGGGCCACGCTGGCTGTTGGTCCAGGCCATGGTCTTCAAATGAAGGGGGGTAGATTGATTGTTCCAGTTTATGGTTATGCTAAGAACGATGCTCCTTATGCACTCGCCCTGTACAGTGATGATTCTGGTAAAAATTGGCAGTTTGGCAAAATGCTCCAAACAAAATCAATTGAATGTGGAATGGCAGAGTTTTTTGATGAAGTAGACAAAAGCTTCATCTACTGCAATGCCCGTAGTCATGGAGGTTATCGAGTGGAAGCTGTCAGTGAACTTGATGGGCATGAATTTGCCAAGCTGAGCGGCCCTGCCACGCTTGTTGAAACAGGTAGAGGCTGTCAGGGAAGTGTGGTCTCCTTTCCAGCTCAAAGTGAAGGTCCAATTACAGAGAGTGACCAAAGCCAGAATAAGAACAAGTGGCTGCTCTTCACTCACCCAAGCCATAAGTCCAGAAGGATTGATTTAGGAGTGTATCTGAACAAATCCCCACAGGATCCAAATGCATGGAGCAAACCCTGGGTCATTAACCATGGACCCAGTGGTTACTCAGACCTGGCTTACATTGATGATGGTTGGTTTGCATTTCTTGTCGAGTGTGGGAAGAAGACAGAACTTGAGCAGATAGCCTCTGTGGTTGTTAGCTACAAGGACATCAAGCATGGCATTGGAGAGTAACTGACATGATGCCTTTCTCTGTCGTTACATTCTAACTTCCACACATGAGACGTCAAAGTAACCTGCCGTTCAATACAAATAATAATACTGCACTTACATCCTATTTACAGCTGATGAATATATTAAGTGTTGTGTTAAGTTGCTAAGTTATATTTGCATGCTCTATCCTTTAAAATCATTAACAGCCATGTGAAAATACAGTTAACTTGAAGTTGCTTACATTTACATTTTTATTTTGATCTCACCTCTAATAACCATGAAAAGTATGCATGATACTCTACTGACATTCTAAAGAGCTGCCATATATACAAAGAGTTTGTGTTTATGAAATGTAAAGACTAAAATAAATGTGGCGAATGAATGGAATTATAAGAGCTGTTGTTGTGGATTTTCTCTTTCCTCTTAAGTTCTTCAGCTGCTGGTATCAAATATTCACTTGTGAGTTTGCAGGAACCAGAGTATAGAGCAAGAAAGAATCCTCAGTTATTCAAATTTCTCGACCTTTTGCGTTTTCTTTCTACAACAGCCATATAGGTGGGTGGATTGCAACATACGCACGCAAGACAGAACAAAAGGGCCAATCTTCCACTTCTTGGATGTGGTGTTCATGAATGCATAGCACCTTTTTCTGGCCTTGACATGAACCAAATGAACTTGAAGGAGACGAGAAGGGCAGTGCATTTGACACCACCCACAGCGAGCACGCCCCAAACTGCACACTGCAAAATTCAGTTTGTCCAGCACTCTGGTTTATGACCAATGACATCTCCATCAGCTTCAGCTATACTTTAGCATGCTAACATGCTAATAATAAAGTTTGTGAACATAGTACCATTGTACCTGCTGAATATCAGTGTGTTGGTATTGTCATTTTGTGCATGTTAGAAAATAGTACTGATCCTGAGTGGATTATCCATTTATCATATCTATGACCAGATGCCATAGGATACAGTAGGTTTTTTCTAATTTGGGTGAAATGGACCTGTAGGTCATGTTAAGCAGGTGGTACAAGTACAAGTACAATACAAATGAGCCTGTAGAGGTCCAGATATATGCTCCTGGTACGCTTCTCCAGGCGTGACTTTCTTCTTCTCAAAGTCCAACTGTGAATCTGCCTGTGTCGTATGTTGACCAATAAACTAGTTTTCTGGGAGATGGGTAGCTAAAGTGAACACACATGCAAAACTGAACAAAACACAGAAACACACCAAGACAAACTGTCCAATGTTTTAAGTGAGTTAAACTACGTCATGTCTCGGGCTCTTTGCTTCTCAGTGTCCGCTTGTTTGGAGGTTGAACAAATTTGGAGAAAATAAGATTATAGTTGCATTCCTCTCAATTTCTGCTATTGCTGTCATGCCCTGACTATAAGCAGACACGTTTGTCCCGGTCACACATCCACTAGCGCTGTAAGAGGGCCCATGATCCTTTGAGCATTTCTGATCATGCCTGTTTGGATGAAAAGTTTCCTATGGGAATAAACTGGGTTGTCCGCTTCACCTATAGTCCTCTGCCATTACCTATCGGCATTGTGGATTTTTTGTTTCATATTGTTACACTCACTTTCTTTGTCTTTAGTCTGGAAGCCCATTTCCACAAGGAGAAGAAAAAAACTAATAAAAAGTTAGCAGCAATTTTTTTTTTAAATTCTCTGGGTTAATAAAAAAAAAAATTTATTAAAATTAATTTTCTAAATTGAAATTATGATATATAAGATGAAATTTTATTTTCATTATGACTAAAGATTAATCTTTTTTTTTTCTTTTACTGGTCAAAATAGGCTTCCATACTAAGCCATTCTTTCCAAGTCTTTCTCTTTCTGTACGGACATTTGGATAACTAATGAGCTCATGAGTGGCTTTGCTGTATGCCTCTGTCATCCAGGATTTGAGAGGGGTCCCCCATTTTTCATATATACACTTCAAGCCCATCACCGAATCTGCTTTCTTCCACCTCAAAAACATCTCTCGACTCCGGCCATCACTCTCTGACTCTGTCGCAGAGACCCTCATCCACGCCTTCGTCACCACCCGTCTGGACTACTGCAATTGAGTCCTGCTCGGGGTTCCCAGCAAAATCCTGGACAGGTTCCAGTATGTCCAGAACTCAGCTGCCAGGATTCTCACCCGCACCAAGCCCTGGCAGCCCATCACCCTCACCCTCATCCAACTTCACTGGCTTCCGGTCAAAGCCCGCATCCAGTACACAATCCTCTCCCTCACCTACAAATCCCTCCATGGTCTCGCACCCCAGTACCTGTCTGACCTCCTCCATCCCTATAGCCCCCCCCCCCGAAACCTACGGTCCTCGGACTCTGGTCTACTCTCCACCCCTTTCACCAGCCTGCGATCTTTCGGTGACAGAGCATTCAGTGTGGCAGCCCCCACCCTCTGGAACTGAAGAGATCCGCACAGCCTCATCTCTGGACATTTTCAAAAAACTGCTGAAAACCCACCTGTTCACCTAGCTGCCTCATCTCCTACAATCTCTGCCATCCCTATTCTGTCTCGTCTTGTTTTCATTTATTTGTTTTTTTAAATTTATGTCGTGATTCTTTCCCTATAAAGCAGACTTGGGTACCTTGAAAGTCGCTATAAAAATCCAAGTTATCAGTATTCCGTCATGCTTCCTGTCACAGGACTCAAGCTACAGCTCGTCTCAGGGGCTGTGGCTCTCACTTCACTAACTAACTTTAATGGGCCACACTCCATGGAGACACATGGAGATTTTTCCTCAAAGAAGGGAACAGGACTGTGAGCATATGTGTGTGTTGTAATTGAATAAAAGTAAAATATGACTAAGCGTGCCAGGAAAAGCAAACTGTTCCCTGTGGGGTTATTTAGGTGGAAGGCAACTGTTTGCAGATGGCAGAAGATCTGCTCTGAACCACATCACACCTTCAGCAGTTAAATCCTGGGAGAGATTTCTTCCACATATGCCAAAAGATTTTTTTTATTTGCACTGTAGTTACTTTTATCCATAGGACACTGGCAAATAAAAAAAATGTTCCCACCTCCATAGCAAACTTGTTGTAAAACTGACTGTATTTTGCTAACTGTAAAAACATGCTGCAAAAATGTGTTTAACTTGAACTTGGACTGAAATAAATGCCCTTGCACCTTCGCATGTTCTAAAAATTCAAGGACTTTTGAATAAAAGTTCAAATTTTAAACCTAAAATAGAAGAGGGTTTCTTCACCACTTTTGAGGAATGTGGGCTTGACAAGAGAACACTCTGCAGCAAAGCAGGTAAACAATCATTACTGCGGAATTATTTTTATATCTTATACTGCTTTTTTAGTCAATAATATTGTCATTGTTTAAGTTTATTTTCCATTCGCTTTCACACTCTGCATGTTTAACAATCTAAAATTAAAAAATGTATTTCTTACACCTGCACACAGAAACAAACTTTTAATAAATTATAAAAGTTGCACTTTTTTGACTTTCACTGGTATGGTGTCTGTACTTCACAAATTACTATTAGCATTTTGCATTAAAAAACACTTGATGCATCTGACAGGTAAACTCCACTTGAAGGTACAACATTAAAATAGTGATAATATACATAAATGCATCACTCTGAAAGATGCCATTCTGCATAATGAAAATGATCTTTTGATCATTCAAGTCATTACTCTATATCTATATAGTTATATAGTTGTAGTAGTTATATCAAATTGATGTGTAGTTTCTAGTTGCGGTGTGTTTACCTAAGGATCTCAAATCCTCCTCCACACACGCTCTCTGTTTCCACCTGACAAAACACAGCACAAAGTAGGCCTACATCCGAGGAAATCCAGTGCCATAGTTTTAACTTGTAATAACACCTCCAGGCCAGATGACCAGATGTGTTTGATATGTTTTGATGCCATGTGCTACTTATTTAAGCAACAGAGACTGCAGACCAGCGCGTGTTGTAACATGGAGGCCTGTTCTGAATAAAGCGGGACCTCCTTCAAACATGATGTGGAAGAAATCACACACACACACCCAATAATAATCAATACACAAGGGAGGGAAAGAATAGTTGCCCCCATGCATGATCAGATCTTTTTGTGATCTCTTGCGCTTACTAAGAACTTATAACAAAACAGATCAATCATCCACGGCAAAATAAAATCCAAGCGATGTCGTCACATTTGAACAATTTCTATTCCTCTCTTAAAATCAGCCGAGTGCATATTCGTTTGTGCAAATCTGTATAGGTCTATTGGATAAATTCAACAGTAGCCTTAGCTGGACATTTGCATTGTTGGTGGATCTAACTCTAACATATCAGCACACTGGGTAGCCTACTTTTTATTTCTTGTATTATTATTATTATCATTATTATTATTAGCTATATCGAATTATATTAGGAATATATAATAGTGGACCCTAATTTGTATTGTATGATTCTCATTCTGCTCCGCTTGAGTTTGCACAAAAAAACAAAAAAACAAAAAAAAAATCAAGCAATCATAATGTCAAAAAGTAGCTAATTATACAGGTTAAAGCCTACATTATTAGTTTCTATAATGGTAAACCCTGTGACATTTAATTCAAATTGCACAGACACGGTGCAAATTCAATCACTTTTTATTCAAAACATTTTAAGAGCTGTAAAATGTCAGTTATTCAAAAACATATGCTTCAAGCAAACACATTGCTAAAAAAAATACTGGCCCGTTTGCAAGCATGGGCTATCACTAAAATCTGTAGGCTACTATTTAATATAAAGTACCATGAGTTTATTCTGTGGATGAAGGGAATACGATTCCACTCATTTCTCCATGGGTTAAAGACATGCAGGAGCATCATTGCATTAAATTAAATTAAATTAGACGAAATTTTAATGACCCCGGTAGGAAAATTGGACAGCTGAAGAACAGGATACCTGGGTAGGCCTATCATTCCGTGCAGCGACACCGGGGGCATGAACGAGGAGTTTGGAGCCAAAGGGGGGACAACGACGCAGCGACCCGGGTCGAAATGTTCAAAGGTTAAACAAGAGGGAAAATTCTTGGAGAGGAGCGAGGAGAGCGCAGGTATGATGCTGCGTACAGGTGGGATGTCGGAACTAGTGTGGGAACTTAAACGGCTTCCTGAGCCCAGATCGCAGCACACATCAGGACCCTGAAGACACGGGGCCATCCTGTGCGCTCCGAGGAGAGGACAAACAGGCATCAGGCTGCGCTCCTGCGCCCTGGAGTCCTTCAGCGTTTCCAAATAAAAATGTTGCCTCTTGAAGCGTTTCCTCCGCCGAAGAAAACTCCCGTTTTCAAACATATCAGCCGACATGGGATCCAAGGTCCAATAATTTCCCTTCCCGGGATTCCCAGGCTCCCGGGGCATTTTGACAAAGCAGTCATTTAGAGACAAGTTGTGACGGATTGAGTTTTGCCACGCAGGGAACTTCTCCCGATAATACACAAAGCGCTGGCTGATAAAGTCACATATCTCACTGAGGGTCAGTCTCTTTTTCGGGCTCTGGAGGATGGCCATGGTGATAAGAGCGATGTACGAGTACGGAGGCTTCACCGAGGCGGTTCTCTTGCCTGGACCATCCTGCAGCCGGACAGCGAGGTCTCCCACCTCCCGCACTTCAGGAGCGAAGGATGAAGTTTGCTCCAAGTCTGAATTCGTCTTATCTAACAGTGACAAATATGTGCTCCTCACATCTTCACTACAGCCGTCTGTCTGTCCCTCCACGTCTATGTCCGTCTCTTCCATGAGTAAGCAGTCCAAGGTCATGGTCACTCAGTGTCCGGCGGCGACGTAAGCGCCTGTCTGGGACAGAGCAGGCGCAAACCCGCTTCTCCGTTTTCATTCACAAAAAGTTGCGCATCTGACTGCATCTGCGACTTTTTAGCCTCCCACTCTAAACTTTCTCCTCCTCCTCCTGCAAAATCTGGCTCCGTCAAAACAACCACATATACAAGCCTAGAGCAGCTGCGACTGAAGGTCCTGATTATGAAATGTCCTGTATGACAGAGAACATTAACTGATGCTTCTGAGGATATGATCGCGATTATTACTCATTTCAACAGACACGTTATCACTATGACGAAATTAAGTTTTATATCTTATTTTTTCATCTAGATTTATAAGCCTGTTGTACTTACAAGTACTTTTTGTATTTATTCGCAGTGTGTATTGATTATAAGTGGTGGAAGTAGTTTTCAGATTCCTTATTCAAGAATAACCACACTGTAAGAATATAGGTCCTGCATTCAAAAGCTTATGCAAGTAAAATCACAAAAGCAAAATAAAAGTATATTAAGCAAAATGGTCTCTCAACAGTCTGTTTCTAATAATATACTATATTATTGGATTATTATCACTGAAGCATAAACCTGTGAGCAGCTTTTTATGATGTATTTAATGTGGAGCCATCTTTAATTTCTTTATATACAACTGGGCAGTTTAATCTGTAGCAATTAATAAAGGTGATAAAATGTTTTATCCACTACGTAACTAAAGCTGTCAAATAAATGTAGTTGAGTAAAAAGTGAAACATTAGTGCCTGAAATGTAGTGGAGTAGAAGTATAGTGGCAAAACTGAACTGAAGTTCAGTACTTGAGTAAATGCACTTACGTTCTATCACGGTTTGTTATGGTTTAAAGTAGATGTTGAAATGACCCCAGCAGCTGAAATTGTTTTGGACTGAAATGTTTAATGTAAAAACGAAACAAGCATATTAATTTTATTGAGCTTGTTTCTCTATGTTCTTGGCTTACACAACGCTCATTTCCTTCCGTGTTCCTCTTTGCTGGATGGTGTGGCTCATGTCGCTCATGGCGAGAGGCAACTTTCTCTCTCTCTCTCTCTCTCTCTCTCTCTCTGGCTGTCTTACCTAAGAAGAAGACGTAATCCATTTTGAAATAATAGCTGCACTGTATCAGTCCGTGTGAGGCCACCCACTTGGCACACAGGCCAGAGCTGCAGGGTGGGCTGAGAAAACTGTGGGAAGTCTCCTTAATGAACAATTCTTCCCTGTAACTCTCACTATAGTTTAATGTGATATACGTACCCCTCTGAAACTATTATACTATTTTATAATCATTGCAAGGGTATTTATACTGAGTCTAGGCCCTACTTCTGTAGCTACACACATGAAAGAGCCATGGAACAAACTGCATGTTTCATACAGACTTTAATACAGACCAAAACCCCATGCAAGCTCACACAAAAGCTTTTCCCTTCACAGAAAACAGCAATCTTAAGGAAATCAGTGCACCATTTAACCAGCAACAACCCAAATAAACACTGAGAAAATCAATCTCCCCCCAAAACAACCACAATTAGAAATGATGACAAAGACAACAAAAATAAATAACTTAATTTAACTTGTGTAACTAAATATATGTCTACTGAACTTTGCAGACAGTCTAGCTGTCAGGTCAAGAGAAGTAAATTGTTTTGCAGTTAATAACAGTGAACATAACACTAAGCTCAGGTTGCAGTTTTTGGTCCTGTACAGAAATAACTTTCTATTGCAGCTGTTGGGTACTGCTGACCATTATACACAAGCAACACTGAAGCTATTTAGATGAAAACCGTCAACAGTTATTACTAAACTTTCCACTGAATGGGTCTAGTCCTTATAGTAGCACTACAGTATCCCATTCATTTGTCCCAAATGATTCTCAGCTCTGCTACAAACTGTGTCTGTGTGCTCAGTATATCCCTCTGTGTAGATAGAGGAAAAACAAACAAATCAACTGTATAAACTCTGTTTCATGTGCTAGATACAGGTTAGGTAGCACAAATAGGATCAGTGCAGTAAAGATATAAGTACAGAACGTTTTCAGACATCACCATTTTTATTTACTTTTTTCTTCTTCTGTCTTTTAGCTTTTTTACCTGTTTATGTTTTCTTGTGATGCATACAGCACCTTGAGAGCAACCATAGAGCTAAAGCGAATGAGTTCTCTTGCCTGAAGTCCAACATGGTAACAGTGAAATTAATTTAAATACCCTGAGTCAAGTAAAATTCAAGAGGCTGGTGCTGGTCCTCATTTTTGCATTCACAGCTGTAGTGAAATGAAGAGGACTAAGAATGACAGGAGCACAGAGTGTATAGTCTGGAATTGGTGAGTGCAAGTGTGTGTGCACAGCTCTGACACATGTGGACATAAAAACCTTTGCTCTATGTATTGTATGTTCGCTAAGCAGTGTGTTTCCGCTGAGCTGAGGTCAGCCTCACCAAGTTTCCACACTTGAGGCAGCATGAGTTGGAGTTGCCCTCTTTCCTAGGGATATGCCAGCAGTTGACACAGCGCACTCTGTACTTCTTATACCTTATTAAAAAAATACAGGGGTGATTTAAGTCCTTTCTTTTCAAATATTTAATGTTCAAGAATCACGATGAATGCTGCTATTTATCTATGAAATCTATATTCGAAATGTCCCAGTTAAGGATTAGCAATCTAGGATCACCGTAACACCGATCCAGCACATCATCATTCCTCTTTTCAGAGGCAAATTCATGTTTATATCTGCTGCAGCAAGTTGTGAAAGATAAAACATAAGCCATTAAACATAATAACACTGTGAGTGTTTCATATCCTCAGATTAACTGATGCAAAGATGTAGCATGCATCTCACGCAATAAGAAGTTTCTGTGTGGTGAAAAACAGGCAGCAAATGAATTTACTGCAACCTGTCTGTGACACCTAAATATCTACAAGAAGTTCACCTCTGCACAAATGCAAACCAAGGCAAGCAATGAGCCAAAAGCAGCATTATTGTGTCAGTGTGCAGTCTGATATAGACAAATTATGTGGGTATGTTTTAAAGTTAAAATCTTATGGTAACTTAAACTTCATGTATGTGTTTTTAAAAGATTTAATAGCCAGTAGTATTAATAGTGTTAATATAAGCTACCTTATCCCACAAGCATTACAGAGTGGGGTCCCGTCCTCTGCATCTCTCCACATGGGGGTCTTCCTGGTGCAGCATGATGCACAGACTTTATCCTCTGATGGAACAGAAAGAAAAACACATACAGTTAGTGTTACAGTAATTTTGACCTGATTGGAAAGAAAGAAAGAATGGTGCATTTTTTAGTTAGTCACAAACATAGCAGAATAAGGTTGTATATCTTGACAGTGTCAGTTAAGAGTCTTAGTTTCTGGTGTCTGAGGGGTAGAGATAAGATAAGTTATGCAAACTTCAAATTTTTAAAGGTTTGTGACTTAAAATGTGATGGGGAGAACAGATGTTAATCACTGCAACAAATTTGAGACGACTTCAATTAAATGCTAATACTCCTGCTACTAGAAATGCAGCAACTGGCTGCACGGCTGACAGTAAAATTACATGTTTGCATTTATATTCCATTTCTACTTCCTTTTCTCTGCATTTACTACTTGGCCTAGAGGCTAGTTCCCATGATACCCATTATGGTCTTAGGCTGTTTACACAGCAATTTCCCAAAATATTTATCTAATGTGTAACACCTGTCATCAGTGATGATGCTGACGTGCATATTTTGATGCAACGGCACTCCCTAGTGGAGAAAATGGGTATTTTTTACAACTACATAATCCACATGACTCTTATTTCAATTAAAGAGCAATGCTGCTCTTTATTCAATTTTAATCACATTACATTGTAGCATTTACATTTGAACATGTGCCCAAAACTCTTTAAAATTATTAGACTCATTACAGTTTTTTCCTTTTCACTTTTCTCTCTTTGTGTTACACAGACTGTAAAACTTTGTGATTTTGGACACTATAAGTAAGATTAACTTGACTTAACATGATTCATACGTGTTTTATTCATTAGGTAGTTGTTTTAAGATTATTTTTTTAAATTGTAGGACTCGACATTGCTGTTTGGAGAGCCTGTAGTAAGGTCAACATAGTTTCATTGAGCAGTGCAGGTACTCAATGTTACTCACTGGAGACAGTAGTTGTTGGGTCACTCTCTTCATCTGAGCTGCTAGTTTTAAGGGATTTCTGGGATGTTCGTGTCCTCAGCCTCGGTTTTCTTACACTCTTGCAGAGCTCCTTGCTGTGGTGAGTAAACATGCAGCAAACACCAACAAATTGTGAGAATGTAATTTAAGTTGACATTACCATCTTCTAAATTCCCACGCAAAAATGTAATACATCTGCCAGTACCTGTACTTTGAAGTTATGAGGAGGCGACACTGTTCCCTACTGTCATCCAGCTCTGTGCCCATGCTGAATGTCACTCCCTGGAAATCTGGGTCTTGGATGTCAACACTCCGGCTGGGATGAGGTTGTTTTCTTGGAGTCTTGGTTCTCCACTGCTGGGAAGATGCAAGAGAAAGTTCCTCCCTTTGCACTGGCCTGAGCTCTGGTTTTAAAGTTGTAGCTAGCACATTATAGCTTGAGGATTTCAGTTGTTCAGCTGCGGGTGATTTTTCCTCTATGGAAGCATGTATACATTCTGCTTTAGATCCTGGGATTTTATCTTTTTTTGGCAGTGAGAAACACCCCTCTGTAGCACTAAAGAAGAGTGATGCTGATTGTGAAGAAGGCAGGATGGCGCTCAGAGGTGGCAGCTGGGTATCACATGGGGGCTCTGTAGACAAAGCAATATTTGCGTTGTGGTCTAGTGTTAGTGCTGACTTTGATAGAGCTACACTTGTATCTTCATTCGAATTAAAAGTCAGTTGACTATTAAGTGATGCATTGGGAATATGTGCTTGTGCCAAGGCATTTTCAGACAAGGGTATGTTCAAAAAATCCTGTTCAGTTAAGAAACAATCCTTCTTACACTCCTGGTTCCACTCCAGTAGTCTGCTCACACTGAATTTCACCTCCCTTTTGTCCCCGTGTTGAGGTTGAGAAGATGCTGTTGTGCTTTCCTCCAGTAGCGCTGGTATAACAGTTTCTGTTTTTTCCGTGCTCTGTGGTTGAACACTACAACCCACTTTGGATTCTTTCACACAGGACTGTGGTTTATAATAACTGGCTCCCACGCTGCACACCCCTCTTATATCCTCCACATGACTGACAGAGGCTGTGATTTCTTGTCTCTTACAGATAAGAAGAGATGGCCTTAAAGTGTATTCAACATTTACACTGTCACTTCTAACTCCCTGCTCTTTAACATCTGCTGCAGCAGTCGTTGACTTGGCTGTTAGATGGCCTAATTTTGCGGTGGATGATCCTGAACCTGGGTCTGACTCTTCTACATCTCTTCGATGCAGGAGCCTCTCACACTGCAGGTTGATCAGACTCAGCACTTTCCAGGGGCTGTTACATTCGTAATGTGACTCAGCCAAAGTTGTTATGTTGCTGCTATGACTTTCCTCCTTCACTTTGTTCACCTGATTATAAGGCAACTTGTTAGACAAACTGTGCTGACAGGAATTATTAAAGGATTGAAATAAATGTGCATTGTCTTCCTCATTTCTAACAATGAAATTATCCCGCTTAGACGTCTCATTAAGCCATTTGGAGGGTGAATTTGTGTCAAGAAAACTGTTGTGAACAGGAGATGCTAGCCTGGAAACTTCTTGGAAAAGGTAGAAGAGTGCAGAGTGGGAAGACTCTTGATCCGCTGTGCTCTGGCTTCCTTGGATGAAGGCAGCTTGTGTCTTTTGTCCTGTGCTCATGTTGAGGTAGTTTCTGTATCATGAATAAACACAAACAGTCTTTAAATCTGCAGTTTCTAAGCTTTGGGGTCAGAGCCCCCCCTGAGGGAGTAGTGAGACCATTGCCAAGGTAACGAATAAGTCAGTCAAAAGCTTGCTACACAAAATGATATTTATTTTTCAGACCTTTCTGTAATCTGTTTTTTTTTTTCTTGTAAAACATTGTATCGTTATACATCTTTAGGCTATTGAATGTTTGTGAAATGAACTACGCTTTAGTTTAACTGATCACACCACATAGACACACTGTGACAATAGATGGAAAGTGGACATTGCTTCAACTTAACACAACTAAAGGGTTGGAAACCATTACTTTTAGGGGCTAAATGGGATTTCAAACATTGGCAGCTCCTGTGGTGAGCTACAGCAGCTACTCATGTATGCAATACCGCATTGACAGTAGATAATATGGGGCTACTGCAGTGTTAAACAGTTTTGTGGACTGTGGACAACAGTTACAGTAGTGATGTTAAGCTGTTGACCACATGAACTGAGTTTGGGATATTTTTCTTAAAACGTATTGTACCCTTGAAAGACCAGGCCCGTATTTTTATAGCATACATAGGCTAACGGGAATCGTCTGGTTCAGTTTTGTTTTTGTTATTTAAAAGCTTAACAAGGCCGAGCTGTCATTTTCCATGAAAATGCGCAAGGCATGAAGCCGCCGGTTTTAAGATTTTTTTCAAATGTAACTTATTTAACTCACCGGAAATGTGACAAAACTTCGAAGCTTCGGTGAAGTTTAAATGTGTTCTTGAGCACAAATGTAGCTCTTGGCGTTCTAGAATGTCCAAGTTTTTCGCGGGTGTCTCGAGTTTGACTGTCGCGAGCGCAGAGGCAGGTAGCAGTGGTATTGACACAGTGGTAATCAGTATTAATATAAACGTGTTTAAAAGTGACTTATGTTAAAATCGCGTTCCTACATTCACACTATCTGAAAATGTCCTCCACCTTTATTCTCTCATATTTGCATCAGTGGGCTGACTTTATCGGAAATGCTTTGGGCATCTCAAAAGAGAGAGATGGTCACTCTAATAGTAGGTACATATGCAAGTCGGTTTACGTTTTTACCAACACATTTGATTTAATGTATTAAGGGCCTACTCTATGGGCACTCTGAAATATACAGTTGTACATTCAGCGATCGCATAGTTTGATTCATTAGCTGTGATCTCGTGATCCTTCAACACTCGCCCATTATATATGGGCCCTCTCTTCATATTCACACATCAAATTTGTCGATCTTTATTTGTCTGTTCTGACCTGTCATGGCCTCTACGGCTAACGCGTCTATCATTTTAGGCCTAAGGATGAACAGTTAAAAATATGGTCAAAATCAAATTCAACAAGGAAAGTCGACTCAGTTAACCACCCATCGCCGTACACTATTGTTGATGCTCACCTTAGATCTTCGACTCAATCATCAGCTAAAAGATGAAGTGTGCCAGGAACTGGTGACTCAAACTGATGGAGCTGGTTGCTATGACTGATTCGTGTTTTGGACCAAGAGAAGTTGCACGGGTGTTCCTGGTTTGCTAGATTACACCTGTTCGGGCATAAAAGAGTTGCCCACGCAAGGCTCCAGTTTCGCTTGATAGTCGCTGCAGCAAAACGCTTTTTGCAACGACACATTTGGCTTTTTTTTTTATTTATTTTTTTAAAATAAGATATTTGCTGGGTAAAGGTGGAGATTTTCCCACAGTTGCCACCTGCTGCTCATGCAATGAACTAGCATTGCTTATATAAGTTTAGATAAATCAATGAGTTAAATGTGTCTTCTTTGAGTGTTTATAGTAAGTGTTTGCTGGGTAATGAGGGCAGTGTACCAAAATGCTTTTAAAAACTGATTTTATTGCACAACTTTAAATATTTGTATTTTCTAAGACATAATATTCACAATTCACTTACATTTGTGCGTAAGTTGGACAAGTACAGTTGACTTAACAAGTGAAGAGTAGATGTGGTAAGCTAATTCCATGGTAACTGAAGCCCAGCAGCTTCAAAACTGACTCATCTCCACCTCCATCCTGATCTGGATCCAAGCACACCTGAACCAGATCACCTAATTAAGCCATAATCACTGGCACCAGACAGGAAGTGCTTTAACATGCATTTTCTATTAGACATTTAAAACAAAATAGACCATCTTGGCAGCAGACACTGACTTGTCAAGGCACAAAAAGTGTAGGTGTAAAAAATGACAAACGATGGTTCCATTCCATAAAGTGACCCAGTAAAACCATGTCAGTGAGTGAGAATGCACAATATCAGAACCCTGGGACTGACTCACCTAAATGGAATGCAGCCATCATTAAAGTTATTAATTCCACCTGTGCTTTGACAACTCAAAACATCTGCTGTGAAAAGGATCGATTCACCTGAATATCTTTTGAAATGTTCAACGTGTGAATATAATGCAAGTTTCAACAGTCTGAAATATGATTTGTTAAGAGACCACCCTTAAACTTCAGGTGACTTCTGCCTTTCAGATAACCATTATAATATACTGTATGGCTTCTTCTATATCTGGCTTCAGTACCACGCAGAAGAAAACTATTTTGAGGTTTATGACATGGGCTAACTATAGTCAGCTGGTTCTTAATGATAAGTCATCGCAACACCTACAAATGAACTTGGTACATAAAAATGAAAGTAAATGCTCTGCATATAATATCTGACTAGTGAATCAGGGTGAAAATGATGGACTGGCCGAAAAGAGTAAGAACATCATCTTGTGATACTTGTGCGTATATGAGCTGTAACAAGGAATGTTCCATTCAACGGCACAAAGATGGACTTTGTTAAAAATTGCTCTGCAATGTATGACACTCTTGAAATGTCTCTTAAAACCCCTTCTGTTTTAACAAAGAACAGTTGTGAGATTGAATGGTGTCTTAATTCTGGCCTGAGAACACTCCACATAAATAAATACATTATCAATTAAACCATCACAGTTTTTTATGGGATGTAACCATTAATTTCACCTTCAGTGAGAACCACAGTGTCTGTCTATGCGTGATCTCATCTGCAGGCCTGTCATGTCATTGGTTATCTGTGGAATTTTTCAGTCAGCAAAACATCTTGGGAGTTGCTACGGACTTTACTATGCTAGCCGTGCATCTCTTCATGGTCGCCCCCTCACTCAACCAGCACACGTGGTGTCTAGCTCACAGCAACACCCTCTCATTTTTCTCCAGCCCCCCTCTTTACCATTTATACCACTTCTCAGTGAGGTTTGGGAACATGACCATCAACATAGAAGTTCCTGGTGACTTTGGGCAAGGTAAGCTCAATGCCATCCAGCTCTGGAGTGAGAATGATCTGGCATCCCAGCCGGGAGTTCTCCTGAAGCATGGCAGCCATGTCCAGCATGTCATCCTCCCTAACAACCAACAAATCTGTCAATATTCACGGTGATCTTGCTTTCACCCCATCACAAGCATTTGTTGAAATTTAAATGTTGTGGTTAAAGAAGATGTCATCAGTAGCAGACCTACCGCTCAAGAGGTTCAGGCAGTTTGTCAAAATAGTCAGCGTTCACATAGACATGACATGTTGAGCAGGCCAACGATGCCTCACAGGCTCCTAAATAAAACATAGACATATATTTAAGACAGAGACAATTAGCAATAACTGTCTTCAAACCATGCACCAATATTTAAGAGAGAGCTTTAACTGTGTAAACACTGACCTTCCAGGTCAATTCCATGCTTGTGAGCCAAATACATAGCATTATCTCCCACTTTGGCCTTGACTGGGATCCTCTGGCCAGATCGATCTACATACACCACATTCACCCTACACAGCAAAGAAGAGATCCCTCTTGAAAGTGTTCTAAATAACTTGGGACTTTAATCCAAACAGATCAAGATCAACATGAGGTTTAAAAATAATTTGGCTTTATCAACAATTATACATTTGAGTTTGTTTGTCTCAATCATGTTAAAAATGTGAGAAAAAAGTCACACACAAAGGTTCTATGACAAAAATATTTCCACACATTTTCATGCTTTGTATATGTAATAAGTCAATGATAAAGAAATATATCAGTTTTTCCTTTGTTGCGTCTCAAGTTTTTTGTTGGTGTGTGAGCATTTTATTGTATGTGATGGGACTGTTTACTCTGATCTGATACAACTTCTTGAGAAGTCTAAATTCAAGACTGCAAACCTTTTTCCATTGCCTACATTTAATTTCTGTCCAGCTGGTACTAATCAGTGCTGCAAATACCTAACTAATGTATACATGGTGCTGTTGTGGTTAAGTGTCAGGCCAAACAAGCGGTTTCCTGCTGCACCCGTGGGAGAGGAGGCGGCAAAAATGTCCAGCAGTGTGAATTGTGTTCTAGTGCATCCAGAAAGCTGCTGGGTAAAAGTTTAGATTTTTACTCATGCCTCCAAAATCATCTGACCATGAACGGTCTTTACAGAACCCAACATTTATCAGGGTGGATTTTTTTGAAATTATGTGCACTGAATTATTATTAGTATGTTGTAAATGGACTGCCCTTCATAAGATTTTTCATCTTTAGCAGGACCCAGTGGAGAACAATGGTAGTTCAGGTAGTTCAATTTCACATTTGAGGACAGGAGGAGGTGCAGATCAAACCACCAACCATGCAATTAATGTATGACCGGCTCCACCTTCTGAACCACAGCAGCCACAAAATGTTTTATCAAATTTTGCACAACAAATGTCTACCATCCATCAATACCAACTTTGTTAGATTAAATTTCACCACTGGTTCAATCCGAGCTCAGGATGTGTGTCAGTGTGGATAAAAAAAAATGCAAGCCTAACATGACTAAGCAAAATTTTTAACTATCTTTCCCTGAAGATCAAATGTTGCCTTCACTGACTTGAACTTTGCAGTTTCAGTGTTAAAGAGTAGTTGTTGTAGTGGTACAGTTTTGACTAAAAGTATGATGCGCGCATTAATTTATAGTAAACGACAACATCGCACCGATTCACAATAAAAAGCCAATAAAAAGTAAACTTACACATCCTCGGGGTCCTCTGCATTGGCGCTGCCCTCCTCATTCTGGTAAAGACCTTTGGGGAATAGAAGCACCGTCATCAGGGCATTGATATGGTAAGATCAGCCCCCCCCCCCTTACCGCTAAGAATAAAGAGGATGTCTGACTTGTTGCACAAAGTTTCACCACCTCATCTGGGAATGGTGAAGTTACACAAGTGTTATTGAGCGGATTTTCGACTTCAATAACTATTGATCTTCTTCTAACCACCTGCGAACCAAACTTTGGTAGCACCTGTAATTTACATTCTGGCAGAAATAGATGACTTATTATCTCTTATTCAGACTAACCATAAAGAAATAATGCCGAGATTATAACCAGCCTCTGATTAGGGCTAAAAGTGTTAGCAAGCTGCACCACTCACCTATACTCGTCTGCAAATGTCTGTTTATCGTGCGGAAGCTATCATAGGAACCCATCCTCTGTAGATTAGCCACGCTGTTCACACAGTTCTGTATCCTGTACAGGGGACATGTGCTACAGTCCGGTATAACTCGAGAAAGTCTCAAAGTCAGCCCCATGCTCGACCGGACAGCAGCTGCGGCCGCCATGATTCTGTTATGGTCACATGGCCGAAAGCGGCCAATGGGAAAAGAGCGCTGGCAGCGTGACGTTTCTGACATAATATCCTACTCTAACAGCAGAGGGCACTGCTGCGTCACACTGCAGAGGAAGCAAGGGCACAAATATCAAGTCAGCGTTATCCAGACATTATAAATATAGAAATGAATGACCTGCATTAGTTCTGTAAAAATATTGTCCATAAAAAGTAAGTTTCCTCCTGAAATGTAGTGCTGTGGGCAGGTGAAGCAGTATAAAATGGAAATAAATACTTCAAAACGGTTCCTCAGTACATTATTTGAGTAAATGTACTTTCCACCACAGTAGAGTCGGTATATAAATTAGTCTATTAAGGCTCAAAGAAAAATGTATTGAACTTCCTGCACCATAATACAGCCCCATCCTGGCCCAGGTTTTTCCTACCAGAAGTAGCAACAGTAACTGGTATTAGAGATCTTTTATCTCACGTTTAAACATACGCCAGAGCCGGAAAGTAAATTTATTCAACTAGTGTACTGAAGCTGAATTTCACATTTACTTGAGCAATTCCATTTTCTGATTCACCATACTTATGCATTTCAGAGGCAATGTTATAATTCTTACACCACATTTATTTGACAGTTGTAGTTAGTGGTTACTTTTAACATGCAAAACATATGATCAGCTAATAAAATATGAGGTATTATTGTAGATGAATTTACCCAATGAAATTGGCAATACTATGACCAACTACAAGTTTAAAATGCTGTTACATGTTAATGCATCAACAACATCAATAATCCTAATTTTGACAGTAATAGTGATGGACTATCACTAGAGCAAAATTTTGGATCTGTACTTTCAATAAGGTAAAAGATTTGAATACTTCCACCACTGCAAAAAGGGTTTGTTACCAGCTGTGGATGAGACAGGGCTGTAAACATTTCTCCTTTCTTCTCATTTTGTCATCTTTCTCAAGGTGGTTTCAGTGATAAGCGATGATTTCAACAGTGATGTGGCATCAGCTTGTTTATTTGCATATTTTTCTGTATTTCTTGTTGTTTTATTCATTGCTGATTTGTGATTCCGTTTATACTGTCTCTAACCTGCCCCACAGGGATATTAAATTATAAGAGCCTCCACTACAATTATTTCACTTTGCAGAATCATATTAGCTCCACCTCAACTTGCGTCACTTACTATAATACAATATAATAATGTATAACAATGTATAATAATCTATCTGTAATTATATAAATTCAATCCTATCTGAATGCTTTTATTTCACATAAGCGTACTACATTTGGTGCTATTGTATTTTGTTCCAGTTGCAGGTCTGACCAGTCTAAACATGTTAAAGTCATCTTCCAGTTAAGGAAGTGGGTTTTCCCATAGTTCAAAAGAATCAAAATGAAATATTTCAAATTTCCACAAAGTCACATTCAGTATCAACCTCCATACTCAAAAGTATCACAGAGCAGTGAATACATGCTCTGCCCTGTTTTTGTGTGCTGTAAAGGACGACAAACCTAGATAAGAAATCTGCCATCTGCCAGTGAAAAACTGTGTTTTAGGACTGCGACCAGTGGTGTGCGAAGTCACAGAAGTGATGTTGTGACTAGAGGTCGGTTTCTTTCTTACCTCTCTGAGAGAGAGGTTTTTCTTACTTTAAGATTAAGAGAAAATGCCACAACATATATATATATATATCACTGTCTTTGACATCCACTTTGAGAGAAAGGAAGTTATCCTAAAGAGTACCGAGCTATTAAACATATGATCCCTTTACAGCGTAGTAAAACTCCCACAGAGGACCATTGTGTTGATGTTTGAGATGGGATTTGTAGGCTTGAGTGACTCTATAACGACTGATGAGCTCATCCATTGGGACAGCCCTACAATTTTGGTTTCTTTTCTTATCTTTCCTTCAGTGTCTCATAATGATCTGTGCTCTTTCAGGGAAACCCACACTCTTGAAGTTGGTCTTGAAATGTATGCTAACCCCCCATCTGGATCTGACTGCAGAGGTCCCTCCCATGTGGATGGACATAAAAACTAAATGGGGCACTCTCATGTCTACTTTTTTATTCTACAGTGAGTGCTGGGAGTCAAGTAACTGGCATATACATTATTAAACTTTATATACTCTAAATCCACATAATGAAACACTTTTACACTTTCATGTACTCTCTCAGACACACACACCTGCACAGGATTAGTGTCTAGGGACAGTTTACCTGTGTCTGTAAAATTTGTGGTTAGAGCACTTAGTATATCACTGGACCCTCACCTCCTCAGGTGCAGGTGTGTGTGTGTGTGTGTGTGTGTGTGTGTGTGTGTGTGTGTGTGTGTGTGTGTGTGTGTGTGTGTGTGTGTGTGCGTGTGTGTGCATAAAGAGGTGTGGTGGGTGGAGGTTTTTACACGCTTGACTTGGTTATAAAGTGGGCCCCAAGCAGTTCCTTCACATTACATTCCCCTCACTCCCTGATGACTATACAGTACAATAACTCACCCCCCCCCACACACACACACACACGCACGCACACACACACGCACACACACACTCATACCTCCTTAAGCCATTCACACAGAAATACTTAAACAAGACACTGCTTAAGACGGACATGCATATGAAACACAGTCACACACACACACACACACACACACAAACACACACACAAACACACAGATCGCAAACACTCTATTAACACATGTCCCTCATCCAGAGCCCAGCAGCAACAACATGTGTGGACATTTTAGCAGCGATGTGGGGATCTGATGAATCTCCCCAGAGTATACCATGTGTATGTGAACAGCTTATGTTTCCAAGGACAGATGGAAAAACACTACGTTTACCAGCAGTCCTTTGGGTGCCATCCAGTCAGTCCCATCAGTGCTCCCATTATGGTTTTGTATGTTGTGATGTTTTCCCACCTTGCCACTCACTGAGGATATACAGTATGTCGTTTTTTTTTTAAGTCACCACTTTAAACCTGGAAAACAGACTTCTTTTAGCTTTTTTTAAAATGTAAGTTTGGAACAATTATATATTTTTCTAATTGTCAACAAATCCCCACTAAATAGTATTATCTGTTTAGCCATAGCCTGACTAAGATAATTCTTCTGTAGACCTCCATACTTCTCCAGAAACTCTTAAAAACACATCAGTGAGCCACACTGTTTCACCTGGTGTATATTAATCCACAGCTGAAAACAGTAAACAGAAAATTCAGTACTTATTCCTGTTTGATTAATATTTGCGAAAAATTGCAGAACCCAGCTGTTTTAGGAAACTCTCAAAAACCTGAACTTTATATCTGAGACCTGTTTTTAAAGTTTTGCATAAGTGGCTTGTGGCTACAGACTGAGAATGGACATCAGCATGCACTGATGGTTGGTGTTGGTCTTTTCATTGGATTTATTGACAGTAAGAAAAACATTGAATAACACTAGCCTTATTCTTTAATTTGACCCCTTCCCTGGTGTTTAAAATGGCTCAAAGGCTCAGAGGTTTGTGGAAGTTGTAGAAAATGATGCATATTAAAAGTCAAAACATAAAAATATCCAAAACTGGAGTGCAAAGTTTTTCCAAGTGTGTCAGTGTGTGAATGTGGTTTGCAAAATATGTCTCTTGCATACTTACTCATTGTCTGCGTGCGCATGTTACTCCCCATATTTAATGTTGGTTCAGTCTTTACTGTAAATACATCGTCAGTTATGATGATCTATGTTAGGCCACCGAGTTGAATGACAGCAGCTGTTTCATTTGCTTTCCCTGGTTTTACTGTCGTCCTCTGGCAACAGCGTGCTCAGAATCAGATGAATGACAGATGAGTGTTTTTTAGGGAGTGCAGGGTTGTTTGGATATTTCATGGATCAACATTTCCCTGAAAGTATATCTTTGAATGATGCAGCCGAGTGCACGCAAACATTCACAGCTCAAAACTAAATGTGCAGATTTCCTTTTGCCTTGGTGCTCATGCCAGTGAAAAAATAGACCTTCTCAATGCCACATTTTGAATTCATGTTGGTTAGTTGGTGCTAGCAACTTTACTGCTGACATCCTGCTGAGCTCAACTTTTAAGATAATCTATTGACAAAGCGACATGTCTGAACCACTGAGTTCCATTTCATTGTAATCTTATCATATCATCTTCATGTTTGAAAGTGTGTGTGTGTGTGTGTGTGTGTGTGCGTGCGTGTGTGTGTGTGTGCGCGAGCTCGCGCGTGTGTGTGTGCACATGTGTGCGAAAATGTCTGTGTGTGTTTGGTATACATGTGTGTACCTGCAGTTGTGTACATGAGCCTCGTTATGCAAGCCATATCATGACTTTCAGATGACTCACAGAAATGTCTTAGAGTAGCTAATAAGAAACAGGTAAAAGTACCCCTATTCCCTTTCATGCGTCATCTGTGTGGGAATGCTTATTCCTCAGCCAGACAAAAGGGAAACTTACCATCAGTGTGAGTAAACACCGTGACAGCCTGGGAGCTGGCATTATCACAGGGAAAACAACTTCTTACTCAAACTCTTGTGATGTTTATACGTCTGGGACAATTTCTCTATTGTGTGTCACACATTTAAAGGTAGGAGCATTTTCAGGAGTCTCCACAGGGCTCAAGGTTGTGCAGAGTTGTTTGTAATTAATGACCTTTTTCACACACAACACTGAAAAGTGCACAGCGGCCAGCAATGAGGTGTTTGCTTTAGCTTGAGGTCTGGATGGAGTTTAGTGGTTCCAGTCTGTGGTCTCAGAAACTGCCGTCTGGACTGTGATAGACAGAGTTGACCGCTGACTGTTGACCTTTGACACCAGAAAAAGAAAGGCTGCAGAGAAGGGTCAAAGACTTGGGAGGTCACAGAGGTGCAACAAATCATGTCAACAAATCCAAACACACCAAGGAAGTCATCGGTCCACTCCAATTATGCTTTTTGTTGCTTATTTTGGTGAAAAGTTTGTGGAATGTGGATAACAGCTTAACATAAAATCCCCATTTGAAGAGGAATATAC